GCTGCTGCAAAAACCAAATGGAGACCGTGATTTGGGGAGACAGCTAGCGTGAATTATGGGATAGTTCTCGCAACAAAGCTTTTGCCCTGTTGGCAGGAACCTCGGTCTGAGTAGGGACAAACTTTTTCCTGGGCGAATGCTGAAGAAATTTCACTGGCCAAGCAAATCTAAACAAACATGATGGAAGCTTGTCGACTTTTTCTGCTCCTGGCCTTTGTTTTGACAGCATCCGCCGTGAGTTTGGAAAGGCAAAAACGGGTGAGTTCTAGCAACACATCTTTTGTTTAAGTTTCAAATTGTATTGCAATTTATATGTGGCAAGTCACTGAGAAATGTTTTTTTTTTCTGTAAGATTACATAATTTTGACAAAGAATAAATTTTCTTTGCTAATTGGGAGCAATATACCTGAATGTTTGCAAAGTTTGCTTCACAGTGAGAGTGGATGGACACATTACACCATATCATTCGCTCGGGCAATTTGGAAGGCAGGTTCCAGATGGTTATAAGTTAAATCAGTGTCTGGGTCATGGGATATTTTAACGCTACTTCAGAAGTGGGATATACAACAAGGAACTGTTGTATTATGTTTACCATTACTAGTGTAGAAAAAGCGCGGGCTCTGGTTCTGGAGAATGGAATTTCCTGATTGGCGCGCACCCATACCAATGTTCACTTATTGTTGGAGGCAATTTTTCCTTAAAATAATTTACTTTTTTTGAATATCTAAGTAATTAATTCTATTTTCACGCTATAATAAATTTGAGCTTTTTGAATGAAACAGGCGCACGCATAAATAAAGCGAGCTCAGCGTGATTCGACTTCATGGAGTGTGTTTGGTAAGGTCTAGACTTTTTATCTCCGAAATTACCGCCGACTGCCCAAAAATTAAGGTACAAATTGGTATTTATACGAACAAATTGACAGCACGTCGTTCTGGCTAATCCAACTCAACCGACCTCATACGCCGCAAAGGGGACTTACAGCAGGAAACGATAGCTTCGCAGTTACACGGGCAACTTGACTTTTCTGTTTTTTGTTGACCTCGTAGAACTTAAAACACATGCATCGGAATTTTGGGAATGATTTTTAAGGTGTATGTACACAACAAAGCGGCACAGAGCTCTTTGATATCCACGTGCATTCTCAATCAGCGCCGACGTAAAAGGATCAACATAAAATCAACCATTGTCTGAAAGCATTAGCGAGACTCAGAAGTTAGCATAACAGACAACGCACGTCTTAATGCCTGGCCTGTGTGCAGGAGACGTTACTTTTTCCTTTGAACCATGTTTACAAGATTAAAACGCCTTCGTTCACTAGCAGCTACTTTGTGTAATTTTGTTTAGCGTGATGTATGTGTGTCTCCTGCAGCTGTCTCTATCTCCTTTTTACTCAAGCCTAAGATCTATGTAGCAAAAAGCCACTTTCAGAACACGATAGCAAGTCAGCACATGATTCGCAAATTAGGAAAAAATCTGAAAAAAAGTTAATAAGATTATGACTCTCCTCGAGGGCAAAAGTACTGTTAGTGGTAGGTAAGGCAATGCGTGAGCGTTTCAAATAATCTCATGTAGGAGAGAAAAAGCAATAAGGGCGGCGGGTAGGCAGGCTTTTCGATGAAAAGTAACATATCCATTGGCGTCTGTATTGTATTTCTCATTAACTGTAGAGAATTAAGCCACAGTAATTTCTGACATATGCTTACTGACTAACCTTTTCCATAAGTTTCACAGTTCAAAAGAATTTCAACAGGGTTCGAATTAAAGAAAGACTAATATAATACTTTTCATGTTACCAGCCTCTCTGTAACAATTCTAACTATCTGCATCTTAGTCTATGTATTGAAAGTTTTTTGTTTTTTTTTTGTTATTATTATTATTATTATTTTTTTTTTTTTGTTATTTTTTTTTTTTTTTTTTAGTTTTGTCAGAACAGACTGAATGAATGCGGAATTTTATGCTTAATACTCGTGCAAATGTACACGTACCTGAATTTTATCTTGCCTCGGAGGATTTGGTTGCTTTTAGATTGGAAACGGTGACGGATCGAAAACGGATCTCACTTAGGATATATATATGTGTGTCTGTTGAAACATATATAGCGAGGCCAGAGGTGTCACCGTTCTCTACATATTAATTTATCATATTTATTCACCATTCCAATAAAAATTTACTTGCGTACATGCGGGAGAAGTTGTATACATCATAAACTGGCTGCTTCTGATTCTTAACTTTGACCCCGTTATTTAAGTGACAAAAAATATCAGGTGATATTGAAGCAACCATGTTAAATTTAGATTTACGCATGTGGCACACGTGTCCGTTGTTCCAGAGGTGGAAGGCAGGGTGAGAAACTGGCGGCACAGACAACCATCTTACAACCAGAACTGCAGTAAATTTAAGCACGGTCACTACGTTTTTTCTTCCAAACGATTGACCTTCTGCCATTGGACCAGAAAATGTAAAAATTGAGCAAGATCTTTAGTTCATTTTGGTACTCTTTTAGTGCCTTAATTTCGACCCATTCCTTTGATTTTTTTCTTCTTTTTTCTTTAAAAGCCTTTTTTCGTAAAGAACTCCCGCTTTGACAGATTATAATATTTAACACGAGTAATCCGCTCGCAGCTTCTGTTTTGGGGTTTGGTAAAAGGAAAGCAATGGTCCAACTGCTTAAATGGATTTTTAAGCGTAAACCTGTCCGTTTGCATTAACTCCCAGTGCGGTGAATGGGTATTAACCCTAAAACTAGAACCCATTTCAAGCACTGTAGGCTATGTACGCGTCAACTTATAATATGTAATAAAAACTGAGATATTGCTGCAGATGGCGACCGAGATGGAACGTGTTTGCTCTTGAAGGGGCATTACGACGGATCCGAAGAGAGGAAATAATTTTGCAAATTTTCTGAGGTTTTCAGCAGTTTAGCACTCCTAATAACCACTCTTAGAAATAATGTATAATACTTTTCAATACTGTATGAAAGCATTCAGACAATTTGCAGTCACTTTCATACCTTGTATTCTCAAATTCGAGTAAGAAAAAGGAAAAGTAATTTTAACTAGGCAAGAACTTAAAAATTATTCTGAGTATGGAAAATAAAAGGTTGGAAGAAATTTTCGGTTTAAAAACTAATGGTCAGGTTCTTTTTTAGCAAGTGGGACTGGAAGGCCCGCGAAATGAGGTGGGAGAGGAACTCCCTCCACCTATATCTGTTGACCCGCCAGTGGACCCACCTGTCGAAGAAAAGGAGGACACGGATACAGAGGAAGAAGTGAGACCTGTTGAGGAATTAGAAGAAGGTGAGACAGTGAACTCAGAATAAAGGGGAAAAATTCACCTGTGTGTAAAGATGAAGAATCCTCCATGGTCGACTAGAGTTGACTAGGACCAACTTTTTTTTCCTTTTAACTTTTCTATTACATGTCCTCTTGTTGCGTCTCAACTTCGGCATCGTTTGATCGAAACCAACCGCGCCAATTACAAAGTTAAATGCTTCATACGCCTTACAACCCAGCCACGGAATCTGCATAGCTCAATACGAGTTTGTGATTGGCACGGTTAACTTAAAGCTATGCTTGACGCTTCATGAAAGAGTCCAATAAAGATGCACACATGGAGGTTTGAAAATCAAGTAGCTACCTCGCACTGCATCCGAAACTCAGAGTCGACACGACTTCCCTAGAGCAAATACGATTTTTTTCAATTAAGTATTGTCGGACAGGGCGCCGCCAAAGCATTAATGGAACTTGATTTGACCAACAGAAATGAGGAAATGAAATTTTGGAAGGGCAGGCTTATTCGCGCCGAGTTTCATAGAAAACTGGAAACTAAGACCCCATTCCCACAGATTTTAGATCGATCTATCCCTGTGGGAAGTCTCCCTAGATTGCTGCAAGGACGTATATTCAATATACGTCCTTGAATACTGTCAGCTTAGCCGGCTTAAGCTTCTGTCCCGCCTACTATTAAAAGCTGTAAGGGGGTATAATTAACTGTCGTGCGCACTCGGCTGACTGCAATTTAGCGTCAACCCCCAGGGAGTTAGGTCGATCCGGATGGATCGATCTAAATCTGTGGGAATGCACTCTAACACCTGTTATCAACATGCTTCTG